AAAACAAGGACTAAGAACAGCTCTCTTGTTTTGTAACTAAGGTCTTAAATGATTGCAGGTACTTTGGTAAATAAATTGTCTACCAGTTCAAATCAATTACTTAATACGAATAACTTCACATTAATTCTAAGCATTAATCTAATGCTAAGTTCAAAGTACTTAATGTAAACTACATTTATAAGCAACTTTTTGAAAATTAGAAAAGCCCAACACAAGAAATCTGGGTAGATGCAAACAAGTTAAATAAAAACTACAATAGTTAACCAAAAGCAAGCCTTTTTCCCTCGCCCAAGAAGTTCAACAAAAATAAATTTAGTAAAATTATTCACAAGAAAGGAGTGTTATCCCAAACAGCTTCCTCTACATCTACATACTGCTCTCCTATTTCACGTTATCCTGACCTGATACAAAGAACTTTCTGGTTGGATGTTTTCCTCAAAGGGGTAGCGTCAAAGGTTTAGGAAAGTGTTTAATTCATTCTTCAAAGAGATGCCAGATTTGCCTTTCACCAGCACACAATCTTAAAGGACTATGCAGCTAAGGCAGCTTCTCTAAAATCACAGCTAATTAAGTTTTTCAGCGCAGAATCAACCTTTCAGGTTAAGAACTTCGACCTCGCTTTCTTAAACTTTCGATTCAATCTCATGAGACAGCAAAAAAAAAAAAAAAAAAATGTCACAAAAAAATAAACCAACTCTGCGCTACGACTGGAAAATTGTCATCTCCCCCACCGCCAGCACACACACACACACACACAAACTTTTACAAACTTGTTCCCAGGCTTTCCAACCCCCCACGCCCAGCCTCCCTGCTTCGCTCCTAACTGGAACCATGCCTTCACGCAGGAAAACGAGGTTTTTAGCTGACGAGCCTCTCCCGAAGAAATCTCAAACAGCCAAAGCAGGATATACCGTACCTGGGCGTTGGCTTTGTGCTCGCTCGAGACGTGGTGCCTCAGGAGGAGGGTCTTCTTGTAGTTGCGGGTCCCTCGCGAAAGCTCATCATGCCCCACCGGGGGAAGGTCCCCGCTTCCCCCGTCCTCAGGGGTCTTTTGGCACCAGCCGCAAGACATAAGGCCAGTATCCTTGGAATAGCGCAGCCACGGGAAATCCTTGAGCCAGGAGCTCTGGAAGGAGCAGTGGAGCTTCTGCAGGAGGGACTTGGGGCGCGCCAGCGGGAAGGGCTGGACAGTCTCTCCCTCGCCAGCGCCCACACCGCTGCCCTCCGCTTCGTCCCCGCCATCGCCGCCCGACCGCCTGCTGCTGCCGCAGCTGCCGCCTTCCGCCCCGCTGCCGTCGCCCAGGCTCGCCCCCTCCTCCTCGTCCTCGGTGCTGTCGCTCAGGGACGCGCCGTCCGGCATCAGCTCCTTCCCCTCCAGCGCGTCCAGCTCCAGGTCCACGGCCGCCGACCCTCGCCCATTGAAATGTCTCAGGCGCCACGCCGAGGTCTCGGGGCGGCAGCGGCTACTGCCATTGTTGCCGAGACCCCCGCCGCCGCCGCCGCCTCGGAAGGCCAGAGTCCGACGGTTCCTTTCCGCTAGCAGGGGGCCCCCCGCGCCACTGCCGCCCAGCGAGGCGGGGCCCCCCGCGTCTTGGGGGAGCGGCAACTCCTTGGCTTCCTCGGCGGCGGCGGCCGCCCCGGCGGCGGCCTCCAGGTCCTGGGGCTCCAGGCCCTCCAATGCCACTTCCTCGTCGGCCCCCCGCCCATTGAGCGGCTGAGGCGCGGGCGGCGCTGGCGGCTGGGGCTGCCGCGGCTGGGGCGGCCAAGGCGAGGCC